CAGCGGGCACCCCGCCCCCCCGGCGGGCAGCGCTTCCCCCAGCCCGGGGCACAGGGCGTGGCTGGCATCCACCGGCCTGCTGCGGGTCCTGCGCTCGCCACACGGCTCCTTCCCCCCATCGCGTGACCCCTTCGCTCCTGGGGGGGGGGGGCAGAGGGGGCGGCTGGCTGCAGTGACGGCGGGGGGGGGGGCAAAATCCAGCCCCCGCCTCGCCTCTTTCCTTTTCCCAGGCGTGTTTACAGCGTGGAGATCTGAGGGGGGGCTGCTTTTCCCGGAGCCATGGAGGTTTCTGGACTGGGGGGGGGCGATCCGGGGATGGGGGCAGAGAGGGAATTGGGGGGGGGGCGTGATTTTAAAGACACATCCGGCTGGAATTCCACCAGAAATCCGGGGATTTCCTCCGCCGAGAGAAAAGATCGAGAAGGAGCCTGGGCTGAGGACGGACAGACAGACACGAGGCGAGGCGAGCCGCTGCCCCCCCCCTCCCGCGCTACGCCCCCCCGCAGGAGCTGCCGGACAAAAGCGGGGTGAGTCCCGGGCTCTCGGGTCGCGTCCCTGCCCCCCGGGAGCCTTTTGCTGTTTCTTTGCGTGCCCAGGACCGGATCCGCTTGGTGGTGTGTGTGTGTTAGTGTCAGTGTGTGTGTGTGTTAGTCAGCGTGTGTGTTAGTGAGTGTGAGTGCTAGTGAGTGAGTGTGTTAATGTCAATGTGTGTGTGTCTGTGTGTGTTAGTGTCAGTGAGTGTGTTAGTGTCAGTGAATGTGTTAGTGAGTGTGAGTGCTAGTGAGTGAGTGTGTTAATGTCAATGTGTGTGTGTCAGTCAGTGAGTGTGTGTCAGTGAGTGTGTGCTAGTGAGTGTGAATGCTAGTGAGTGTGTCAGTGAGTGTGTGTCAGTGTGTGTGTTAGTGAGTGTATGTGTCGATGAGTGTGTGCGTTAGTGTCAATGAGTGTGTGTGTTAGTGAGTGTGTTTCAGTGTGTGTTAGTGTGTGAGAGTGCTAGTGAGTGAGTGTGTTAGTGTCAATTAGTGTGTGTATCAGTGTGTGTGTGCGTGTGTGAGTGTGTGTGTGAGAGAGAGAGAGAGATCAGCTAAGGTGGGGCAACATGCTAAGAAAACCCCACTGGGTTTTTTCCACCCACCCCACCCATGCTTCCATTCCGCCCCATCCTTTCCTAGGGCCAGAGCCCCATTCCCCCCCCCTCCAGCCCCTCCTCTGCTCTCACTGCCCCAGCCCCTAGGGGCAGCGCCTCTCCCACCCCAGCGTCTCCAGCCCACACTGCTACTCCCGCGGGTGGGGACCAGCCAGCCTCAAGTGTCATTTTCCTAACCCGCCAGCACCGGTTTGTGGGCTCTTCCCCAGCCAGACACACGGAACGAAGATGAAGCCCCGGGGTTATTTTCTGGTTGGGGAGCCCGCTCTGGTCCTTTTTTATTTTTAGGGTGTTTTCTTTTCCAAAGCATCTCCGAGAATGTTCCCCCCTCTCTGGCAAAATCCACCCTCCCCTTGCGTTTTCACAGTCAGTTACTGCATCCCACTTAGCTGCGCCCTTCTCTGCGTTGTGGCTTTTCTCGTTGATTCCTGCCCCCCCCTTTTTTTAGTGAGCAAAAATGTGTAACCCCCCCATCCAAAAACCGTCCCGTTTTTATTCTTCTCGCTAGTTTGTCAGTTGCTCCCCAGCCCATGGCAGAAGGGGGCCTGGGGTTCAGACTGACACCGATCCGGAGTCCCCCCAAACCCTTTGCGAAGAACTGCGTCAGTTGATTGGGGGGGGGGAACAGATGAGCCATCAAAGAGCATTTAAATGGCCCCGGGCGTGGGCCACGGGCCCCAGGCATCTCGGATGCTTAGCCTTGCCCTAAAAGTTGCAGGCTTCCACTTGTTTATCCA